CATATCTGCAAAGCGCTTCTGGGATGGGAGTTACGAAAATTTTTTGATGCAAAAATTTCAATGCGCAACTACAATAAAATCATCCAGAATTTAGTCTGTAAGCTCAAATGGGGTCATGATTAGTGCCAGGGCGCTTTTTGCAATTAGTACCATCAGTCTAATAAACTTATGAGTTATTACTCCTAAAGCGCCGGAAAAGTCTGAGCACTTGTTTTTAATTTAGACAACCTCAAATTTTTGTAACAACGGCTTATTACTCTCCTCTCACCGAAAACAGATTTAGAATCAGCGTTCCATGCACTATAATACACTATACATTTCATATGAAAACTCCACTTCGACAAAGTATCCTTCCCTTGTAAGATCTAAGATTAATTATGAATTTCTCTCTTGATTTGTGACATCCGCGCAATCCGCGCCCTGCGACTGTCTTTCAACTAGAATGGGTTTCTGCACTTTCCCCCTTAATTTGAGCCATTTGTTTTCCAAAATCACGGAGAACACCATGACATTCATAACTGAAACATTTTCTGCAGGAATGTCGTGAACATTGTGTGCGAAGATGGTGTTAGCTTCTTGGAAATATACGAGTGTAGCGAACGATGGAATGGTATTCTTACCTGTGAAGCTACAAATTCTGCCGGTTGTTGCAAAGTCTCAACGATACTGTCGACCATACGTGCAGGTAATCCGGCACGCATTTCAGATTTTGTTCGATACATTGAAATTGCTGATGTTTAGAACCGGCAGAACGTCCGGTAGAGATTCACCTTACAAATGTTCCCTGCCAAGCGGACGCTGAAATCACGTTACCAGGAGGAGAAAGTGGAGATTTTGAGAAAGCTATGTACAGAGTTGGGGTTAGTGCACATATCTTGCGAAGCTTGACGAAACATAGAGTTGATCGTCCACTTGAAACGATGAAACCCTTTAACTGAACTATCTTGTGTTTCTTGTCAGATTTCGGTCAAAAGACTTACCCTTGATTAATGTATCCTTCCAGGAAGAAACCGAGAGACCCCCTTCGGTTTCCTGGTCGATGTCCCCATCAGAAAGGAGTTTTTCTGAAACGAGCACATCATCAGCTGCAGGACAGAAACCTAGCTTTGTACTCAGAATGCCAGCGCAGATATACACAAAGGTATAAACGAACATAAGCGATGTTAAACCAAAGCTTTAACTACTACTTCAGGTCAATGAGAACATCCAGTTGAAGTGCGTTTTCTCTGGACAACCACTGCCCGCTGTTACTTGGGAAAAAGATGGAAATCTTGTTGATTTGAACAAGTATGTTGTTACTATATAAATGTATATATTAGTTTAGCAGATATCGTCGAAGCTCAATCTAACCTAATCTGGCACAAAGTAGAGGAACGAACTTCGCATTCGTGTATAGTAGGGTATACCGCCTAATGACAACGTCCCGACAGAATGTTGATTTAAAGTTTCTCCCCTTATGAGGTTAGAGGCAGTGGCTCGGGAAAATCGCGACTGCGGGCTTTTTACACTTATATGGCTTTCTGGACCAGCTGAATCCGATGCTG